GCCGTGACCTGTGTGACTGAAGTTTGCAAGAGACGGCGTCACGTGACACCTTTTCACTCGCTTGTCAGACCTCAGTTTGTCCGACTACTACTACTACTACTACTATTATTACTACTACTACTACTACTGCTGCTGCTACTACTGCTACCGACAGCGAATCATACCCCCGAATCCGAAGGAGCATCAGCGGCAGCAGCGGTAGCGCAGAAGCCTTGCACTAGTCTTGGCAGCGGTCTCGGCAACAACACAACCATGAGGAGGCTAGGTCCTCCAGTAGAGGGGTTAGAATAAGGGTACCAACTTTGTTTCTGTAGTCTTTTTTGTGGGGGAAACCCTCCCGTTTGTTGTTGTTTTTGTAGTAGTAGTAGCAATATTATCAGTAGTGGAAGTAGTATAGTGGTAGTGGTAGTCATACCCGCGAAATCATACCCTGCACGCAAACTGTAAAGCCCGGCCACCGGAAAAAATACAAGCCCTAACGCGTGTACATACATATATATATATACATATGCCAGTTTTTTTTAATGCAAGATGAATTATACAGCCATGTCTTGAAGACATTCTTTCTGGGAGCCTCCATGAAATCGCTCAAGGAAAGATTTGTGGACTCACAGCAATTTTACGACCTGCCGGAGAGCCAGAGTTGACTTGCCAGGTGAGGGATCTGCGTGTCCGGGGTGGGTCCGAAGGCGGGAATGTCAGGAGTGGTGAGTGACTTACCGTGCCCCTTCATCTGCCATAGTCACAGGTCGGAAGTCGTCGTTTCTTCCGAATGGTTTTTGCTTGATCAGTTGGTCGCTCGAGCACGACCGGTATTTAGCCAAGTGTGGCTGGTTGTAGGGGTAGGCGGCTGGCTTGGTAGGTTTGTAGGTTGGTAGGCATAATTATTGTTCAACGCTATTTATTTTTCTTTTGGTTTTGGTTTTTGTTGTTTCTTTTGGAAACGCAGGAATTGGCATCAAGAACACAAAACGATGCACTGCCGCAGTCCCTGTTCTGTTTATGAATCAGGGGTCCATACATTATTTGGCGTTGTTTGCTTGCATTCGACTGGCGTTCTCCTAAGAGTCTACAGCGTGCCTTTTGCAATTTTTTCTTCAATTGACAGTGGCTCAAAATGAAACGATCGGAGGGGCAAACCGCAGGGTTTGGTCCATGTTTCCACTTGCCAGGGCAACCCATTTTGGAATTCCGTTTTTTTGGTTGCCACGGCCTCGACTTTGGCAGCTGGCCCCAAGATCCGGATTCGACCGCCGAACTCCTGGGCGTTCTGGTTCTCAAGGCGTTTTTTTTTTTCCCCGCATGTTTGGTGTTTCGCCCGTTTTTCAAGGTGCTTGCGGCCATTCGCCCGGTTTTTGCGGGCAACGCAGTGCCAAGTGCCAAGAATTAGGATTCCTTGACGTTTGAATGCCCAAGATCATGATTTTCAAGTGTGCCGCAATCCAAGCATTCCTATTTTTTCCGGCCCTTGCCAGTTTACAAGGGGTTGTTAAGAATCCCGCTAGTTGCAAGACTTCGCACGGACACAAGCTTGTAGTTGGAGCACTATAGCTGATTATAGATGTACGTTGCATCACGCTCGACAGCGGCAAGCTTAGCATGTTCAAGCCTGCGTTGGCAGGCGAAGCTTTAATGAACACAGTGTTGTGGGGGTAATTCACTGGACCGCGCGCAGGTGTAGAGATTGCAGCTGGTGTCGAGGTGGGGAGAGAGGTTTCGCTGAGGGCGGAGCTGGCAACATGAGAGCGGTCTGGAGAGATTGATTCTGCCAGGTTCCCCAGTGGTGGCCAGGCACCCTTTATTGGGGGAGGATTCCCCTACTAAAATAGACTACAGAAAAAAGGATACCCTTATTCTAACCACTCTACTGGAGGACCTAGTTCTGCCTTTGCTGTTTGTTCAGGAGCCACGAAATGATTATGACCATTTCAAGGTTATGTGTTTATATTCCTTAGGACCATAGTCTCACCGTGGTCCCAAGGACAGATGCAAATCGAAGAATACGTTCTTTGACCAAAGGTTCGCGCTCTTTTTATTGCAGCTATGCGGCTGAGCCCCCCAGTTTGTATCCACCTGTCCATGTGGGGAGATACGATTTTGAACCGGTGGGGCTGTTTTGAATTGTCCGATCAGCGACGCAGGCACATTGCATTGCATTGGTTTCCAGGCTATTGTCATCGAGGGCCTCACCTATTGCCACTGTCCGTGTCCGAAAGTGGAGATTCCGCGAATGCAGCGGCTCAGCAACAGGTCTTGAAGCACTGTATTCCTTGCTGGTTTTGGCGTGCATCATTCTTCCTTGCCCATCCTGCGCTAGCGGAAGGGAATGATGAGAGGTTGCAAGCGTGAAGCACATGAAGGGAACCTTGTGGGAGGGGCATCAACGTGGACGAGATTGTGGAAAGGCAGGTGTGTCTTTGTTTTTAGGGGACTCCCAGAAGAAAGTGGTTTTCCTTTTGGTTTGCCTAAACCAAGCAACAGAGGGTTCCCGGAGTCCCCAGAAAAGACATACACATATGGGGGTTGATCAGTTTTTTTGGCCCCCAAATGACCAAGCGTCACTTTTCCCATTTGGGTGTGGCTCAAAATGAAACAGGAGGGGGTACGCGGGTTTTGGTCCATGTTTCCACTTACCAGGGTTCCATTTTGGTACTGGTTTTTTGAGCTACAGCCATTTTGTGGGAAACATCATCTGTTTAGTGGATTGGTCGTCCCATGTATCACGGACCTTTTGATCAACCCTCATTTCTCAAAATGAGGGACCTCTGGTTGTTGGCTTCTTTTTGGCTCCCCTTTGAAAAAACCAAAGCCTCACCCCGCATATATCACGAACTTCTGGATCAACCCCCATATCTCTACTTCACATGGAGACCACATCTCAGCGGGGTTCCCCGTGCCCCGTTCCCCGTCCGACGCCAGCTGGAGCAGCTCCACCGGGAGATTCGGGAGCTTTCGGCTGGGGAGCTCCAGAATCGACTTGAGGTTCAGTGGGGACCATGGGTGTCCCACTTTTTTGCACATGTTGTTCTGGTCATTTTGGTCATTGTTGTTGCTGAATCTAGGCGCAAACTCATGGGTATGGGCCGGTATGGGTCAAAATGATTCACAAGCCACAAGGATATGGACCGCAGCTTTGAATGTAGTGGTTTCCATCTACCCGGGCAACCCATTTTGGGCACCTATGTTTGACCCGCACCCAGACGGTTCTTGTAGAGGGATGGGGGGGCCCTCCTTAACCAGCAAACTACCGGGCTCCAAATCACCAACTGGAAGAAAGCTGGCAAATGGTCTACCCCAGAGCTCACTCCCGTTGGAGTTCCTGGACTTTGTGCTTTTCAGAGTAACCGGCACACAAAAGAGGTGCTGGGCTTTAGTCACTTTTGGGGTGTGGTTGCCATTTTAGTGGTAAACAGAAAGTTTGGGGACGGATTTCTGACCAATCCACTCGTTCGGAAGTGAGGCAACCAAAGCGAATCCACCGGACGCTCTGACCCCTAGTTGGTGATTTGGATTGGTTTGGGGAATTTGAACCCTTGGTTCTTGATGGGAATTATGCCCCCCCAAATAAGGACCTAGGGACTTGCCCAAACCTTGTTTTGGATTCCCGTGTTTAAGGTTCTCAAAGGGTGACGACCTTGTTTTGCAGGTCCTCTTACGGAGGTTCCAAAAGGCGATCAGCTTTATTTTGCCAGGTCCCGGGGTTCCAAAAGGTCAGCCTTTTGTTTGCAGGTCACATCTGGGGCAACTGGGAGATGGTTGGTCAAATGGGCGGTGGATTCGAGTCTCGGATCTTTCCTCACTTGAGTGAATTGCCCGAAAGCAACCAAGCTTGATATTTACCACCAAGATGGTCCAGACCCCAAAAGCTTAACGTCCAGGAACGCGAACGCTGGTGAGTGTCTACCTGCGCTCAGTTCGCTTGAACATGGATGCAAGTGTTCGCCGAAAACATGGATGCATTTTACTGGTTTGGGCAATTTGGCATTCATCTGGTTTAACGCTTTGCTGCCTTGCTGCTGGTTTAGTACTGGTTTAGAATATTTTTTCAAAACGGACACCTTGCCCCAGCACCTTCCAAGCGCTGCTGATTTGCCCCCCAAAATCAAAACAAATCAGACGCATTTCATAGGCTTTTGGAGTCCTTGTAGGATCTGCGTTTTGGCAGCTCATGAGTCCTGATCTCCCACCCAGGCCCGAAATAACACACCATGTGAGGTCATGTTTATGCTCCACGGCTTGTCGTTGCTGTTGTAAAAGGTTGGTTCCCTTTGAACTCTATGGGAAATGGGGTAGGTTATTTTCCACCAATAGCTTAATCGGGACCTCGGGCCCTATGTTGATCCCTCGGTTTTTCTGGAGACACGTTTCAATTCGAGACGCGTGGACCAAACGGCACTTGGCCCAGCGTTTCTTGTTTCTTGTTTCTTGTTTCTTGTTTCTTGTTTCTGGTTGGTACTTTGGTTTTTGTTGTTTGTTGTGTGTGTTTTTGTTAAAAGCTTTGCAGCCATTGGGGCTTCTCGGTTCTTGAGCTCTCGCAACACGGCTCCTTACATGTCCCTTTACTCCGTGGTTCCCAGCCGTCCCCTTAGCTTTCTAGCTCAGGGTTTAGCGGAGCCCTACGCGCATGCAAGACCTTCCCGGACGTTGCAGCTGCGTCAGTCGGAGTAACCAGTCGATGAGTCTCTACACCAGTGCAATGTTTGATGGTTTCCTGTTTGCGGTTGTTCTAAAGGGCAACCAAAATCAATCCCATTTGGCGGACTTGGTGCGTTTTGCCAGGCAGAAACTAACAACATTTGAGAACAGCAGGACCCATCGCTGAGGACTTGGTCCCCTTCTCACTCCCTGAATTCCTGGACTTCGAACTTTGTGGGAAGACCATGATAGAGGGAACCGACAAGTGTGCACTTCTTTTCTCCGGCCCATCCACTCAAGAAGTGAGCCTTTTTTCAGGGAGATCCATCTGAGAGCATTGTCTCCATCTGATCCAGCGGCAAGCCATGCATGGCTACCACAAGTCGGAGTGTGGCAAGCAGCGCGCGGATGTTGGGTCCACCCGGTGGGTGGACAAGAAGTTCCTGCGGACTCAAACCAAGCTGCGGTGGGTCTGTGGCCTGTGCAACGTTTGGTGCAAGGACCGCGGCCTGAAAGAAAAACCCCAGCCGCTTCTTGGGTGTGTTTGTTGAAGGACGTGGCTTCCAGCCTTTAAATCCCTTTTGCCTGGGGCTCCTGAGTTTCTTGGGCGTCCTTTTTGCATGGGCTCCTTGTTGGGGTGTTTTTTTTTTTTTTTTTTTTTCTTGGGGAGCCAACAGCTGGCTTCCAGCGTAGCGGGTTCCGCTTGACACGCCCCAAACAGGTCCCACGGGTTTGGTCAAAACTGCGCCTTCACGTTAGGTTTTGCCAAGTGGCAAGGAGTTGTCTTTTCGGGGGTTGGTTTGAAAGAATTAAAAAATAACCCAAAAAACAAAAGAAACAACAACAAAACGTGTATTTTTTGGGGGGAGGGGTGTTCTCGCATTTGACTCATTTTCGTGTAGTAAGGATTTGGTAGTCTTAAGAATGCTCCTTTTGGGCCACTCAGGTTGGCCCTCACTGGGAACAAACTTTGCCGGTAGAATTTAATAGGTTGACAAAGTATCTCACTCTCTGAGTTCCTCGACATGAAAGTTTTTGGGAAGGCCGTGTTAGTAGCAAATAGAAAGTTTGCACTGTTTTGGGGCAGTCCACTCAGGAAGTGAGGTATATACGGTGTGGACCAGAACTGACACACAATGAGCGGACAAGCTGATTCGCTGTTTATATTGTTCATGGGCGGGCCGGACCGGGCCGGACCGGAGGGGGGGGGGGGGAAACACACACCCAGTTTACCACGACCCCCCCCCCCCCCCATTTTCGCATTTTCCCATGTCCTTTTGGGGAAGTCTGTTAAGTGCATCCTATGGGAAGCCCCTTTTGCGGAAGCCATGGTCAGAGGTACTGTACTTCTAACAGCTCCAATCTGACCTATATGGTTGTGTCTCAAAATCGGGGAACCCGCAAAAACTGAACGGTGTTCCTTTCGGTTTTCCCTCGAACCCCAAAACCAATAAGCAAAACAGGTTCCCTCAAAAAACAGACGTACACAAATTCCCAAACTGGGGGGCATTTTTTCGTGAAATTCGGCCCAATAGGTTGGCACACACAAAGCGAGGTGGATGCACGCGTAGCTTGTTGTTTTACTTAGCATCGGATTTGGCGCTTGTTGCTGGTGGATTGGGTTGGATTGGTTCGAATGTTGTTGCTGGTTGGTTGGTTGGTTGGTTGGTTGGTTGGTTGGTTGGTTGGTTGGTTGGTTGGTTGGTTGGTTGGTTGGTTGGTTGGTTGGTTGGTTGGTTGGTTGGTTGGTGGGTGGGGGTGGTGGTGGGTGTGGTGGGTGGGTGGTGGGTGGGTGGGTGGGTGGGGGTGGTGGGTGGGTGGGTGGGTGGGTGGGTGGGTGGGTGGGTGGGTGGGTGGGTGGGTGGGTGGGTGGGTGAGTAAGTGGGTGGGTGGGTGAGTTGGTTGGTTGGTTGGTTGGTTGGTTGGATCGCCTTGGGCTGGTAGGTTTGCTGGCCGGCAGGGCTGGTCTTGGGTCAGCTCGTAGGGTTCTGGGCCATAGGGGTTCAGGCAATCATTGTCATTTTTGAGTGGTTGTTTTGGAGGAAAGCCAAAGGAATAATGTTGTAGGCCCCCTAAAAACAGACTTTGGGCAGGTTTGCGGTGGTTAGGCACGGGCTGATTTGTGTTGGGTCTGGGTTACTCGTTGGTCACTCGTATCGGTTTGCGACTGGCGTGCCTGGAGCAAATCTCTATCAGATCCATCGGATATATCTGAAAGACCCTACTTTGTAGAGGACCCCCTATAGACAATTTCCTTACGAACAGGGACCGGCCCCTGCAACAATTGCACGGTCCTCCGGATGAATCCGAAGATAACATGACTTGCATCCCCAACCGCAACCGCAATGAAGGGACCCGCATACATCTTGCTTTGGGTACTCTATGGCAACCAGATCATGGTTTTCCCAGTTGGGTTGGCGGGTGAGGGATTTGTTCGACCATTTTTCTGGAAAGTCTGGTCCTTTTTCACTTCTATGGGATTTTGGAGGTGCCCCTAACATGGGTGTGTAACTTTAAAGGGGACCCCCCAAAATCTCAGATCCTTTAAACCAACCCCCAAACAGGGTACCCTCAAAACAAGACAAACCCATCCTGTTGCCTTAGGTACAAAAAAGGAGACCCCCCCCCCCCGTTCGCAGTGGTGTGGTTTCACGTTTGTTCCACGAGTTGGGAGGATGGGCTCGATCGCTCGCAGGACGAGAACGGCTTCAAGTGCCACTTGGAGCATGAGAACCACATCCGCAAGTCGCAGATGGCAAGGCAAAATGCCCCCGAGTACGAGATGAGCCAAAAGGACTTTAAACAAAACTTGGAGTGGCGAAGCCAGCCATCCGGTTCCTTAGCTTTTTAGATCCTTTTAGTTGGTTTAGTGGTTGGGTGTCCGAGTTTAACCCAAAGTTAAGCTTCGAGCAGGGGATCTGAAAACGGGCAGCTCACAAAAAGTGAGCCGGGCCATGCAGGCTGAATGTAGAAAATGACAATCTGTAAACAAACCCCTATGAACCCCGAGTTTATTGGTGTGCGTATTCCGAACCAGCCGCCAAGGGAGTCCAATATGGAAATGGTTTCTTATGTTCACGCATCACATTTCGGGCCAAGCCGAGCTGGCGCTGATGGATCAGGGGTTAACATGTGACCCTAAAATGGGTTGCCCTGGTAAATGGAATCAAAGGCTAAAACCTGGGGTCCAATCCCTGGTGGCAAAAAAAATGACCTACACCCACAAGGACACAAGGATCTCTTTTGAATGTCGGTTTGATGGTCTTAGAGAATGAAGGACTGTGAAGACTTTGTGCTTCGTCCCCCGTCCAAAAGAAACCGCCATTTCGACATGGCCTACGCGCCGCCCATCTCTGGGGGCTAGCCCCAAAGGTCTAAAGCTTCCAGGAAACTGCAGGGGGATGCAGGAATAGGGTGTTTGTTTTGGAGAAAACCTATGTGAGTAACAACAACAACAATGATAATAGTACAGTTGCAGTTGAAAGGATGACCGCCACGTAAAATCGCAAGGACAGCCGTGTGCGGTTCCCCTTGTTTCGGACACATGTTTACTTAGCCGTTATCACCGGTAGAATGTTGGCCATTGGCAAAGTTTCTGGTCCATCATGGGGGACTCGCAGTTCACACTGGACACACAATGACCCCTATCATGGGGGTCAACCCAACCCCCCCCCCATATCAACCGTATCAAATCAGGGGACACGACTTTCCATGGTCCGAAGTCCTCTTTGGGGCGAGAATCGGCACGCAGGACGAAGACTTCGCGAACCGCTTTGTGCAGCACTTGGCGAGCAACCATTTGAATCAGAAGGCGGCAACGTCACTTGGTGCTCAGTGGGAATGACAACGAGTTTCCGGGTCTTGGGAATGCACCGGTGGGGATTCCCGCAAGGGAAACCACAGGTCGGATGGTTTTTCTTGGAGTCTTTCCATTTCTCATTCCCTGCTGAGTCCCAGCAAGCTGACTGTTTGGTCGACTCGCGATTCAGAAGCTTTTGCAGTTGCCATGGCTCACTTCCTGAGTTCCTGGGCCTGAGTCGCTGTTTGGGGATACCGTTTTGGTAGCTAGGTGCCCCAGTGGTGCCCTTTTACCCTTTTTTGGGGGAGGGTTCCCCTACTAAAATAGACAAAAGAAGTTGGTACCAACTTCTTCTAAGCTCTGTACTGGAGGACCTAGATTTTATTACCCGGAGATTCAAACGTCAAGGAATTCCTAGTCATTCTCGGCATTGACCCTGTTTTGGACGCAAACGCCCACAAATTACCGCAAGCGCCTAGAAACAGGAAACGCCCGCCCGCAAAAAAGGGGCAAACGCCCGCAAAAAAAGCGCAAAACACCGCAAAACGCCTAAAGCGCCTTGAGAACCAGAACGCCTAGGAGTTCCTCGGCATTGGAATCTCCAGGTAGGCAACAAACAGTTTGGATTATTTCGGCCCATCCGCTCGTTCGCAAGTGAGCTTCCATGTCCCAGCTCAAGCAGATCGATCTCAGAATGAATTAGACTATTTGATTGCCTGCAAGTAAGAACTGGGTAGGCTCCTTGACAGCGCCCAGCCTCTTGGATTCATCCAAGGTCAGTGTGACTTCGTGAACTAATAGTAACAGCGCACC